ATGCCACTGGAATGGCTGCCGTCTTTCGTACTTTTTAATTGCCTGTTGTACCTTTCGTGTCCACCATAAAGATGTTTTCTGACCTCTAGACGGCAGGCCAATCCGTTTATATTCGCAGCATTCGGCGGCAGCCTCGGGTAGGCCGCTCTTGAAGATCTGCCACTCTGTTTCAACATCAGTTGTAATCACTGGGATCTGTTCAAACCGTCGTGCGATGCGACAGATTTCTCTCTCGTATCCACTGAAGGCAGTGTTTCACATTTGATTCTCCGGTTGCTTCTGCCACCAGGACTTCGTGTGGTACTCCATTTCTTACAGCGCAGCGTGCCAACAACAAGGTGATGATTGGTTGATAGCTCTGCGACTCTGTTAACACGAACATCCATTACTGAGCGTCTTAGGTCAGACGATACGATTATCAAATCGATCATCGATTTCTGTGCACAAGCTTACCAGTACCAGGTGTACTGATGCACTTTTCGATGCTCGAAGAAGGTGTTCATAATGGACCATCCGTTGTTTGGACCAAACCGCTACAACTTCATGCCGTTATTGTTGAGGTCGTTATTGCCGTTTTTCTCAATCACGCCGTTCCACTTTTCAGCGTCCCAACTCTGACGTGCGCATTAAAATCGCCCATCGGTATGATGGACTCTGTGTTCGGCACTTCGGACAGAGCACACTGCACTTCCTCAAGGAAGGTCTCATATTCTCCCTCCAAATTGGGCGCATAGACCTATACCAAGGTCTGTTGTAGCTTCAGTGACACGACCCTTGCGCTGACAAACTTCCAATCATTAATTCTATCTGCATGGTTGGCTTCTACGAGAACACCAACACAGGCCTAAGGGCGAGTCGTGATATCGACGCCTGAGTAGAACAGCTTCCATCCATTGAGGTTCAGGAGTCCTGAGCCTGGGCGTTTTGTTGACGAGAGTCCAATAATGTCGAGTTGGTACTTCATGGCCTCATCAACTAATTCTTGTTCTTTTCCTCTGAGTGAGGATATG